TGAATATAGGAGGATTAAAGAAATGGCTCGCTTTACCAGCTAACAAAGTTACAAAAGGAACTATTGTCGAAGAAGAAAAAGCGAAAATCAAGGAGGAAAAAGATAAAGAGAAGCAAAAGAAAGATAGAGATATTCATTCATTGATCGAATCAATTGTTGAGAAAAGTTTAAACCCAAGCGTTTCATCAAGTGAAGCAAAAGAATATAAACAGTATGATCAATCAAACTTGTTCTTTCTTTCCTTGATAATAATAATAATAATAATAATAATAATAATAATAATAATAAATAACTTTCATTATATTATTATTATTGTAGGTACATTAGTCAAATTAAAAATATTTCATTAACATCAACACCAACAAGTGACACAGACCCATCACTTACAAGTCATTCAGAATATCATCATTATGCCAACTATGTTAAACGTGCCAATCTTCCAAATCCAATAACCGACTTGAACATTCCGGCAGATGAAAAAGTTTATTATGATTATTTAGAAGTTCCGAAAAAATGTGCAATTCTACAAGCTGCTGGATCAAATCATTATGCCAATAGCGGTGTTAAAAGTAGATATCAAGCTTATGAGGCGTGGCTGAAAACCGGGAAATTGATCGTTAGCAATAATAATAGTAAAAATAAAATTAACACTGTCAATAGTCTTATTATTAGTGGTAATGGTAGTGGTAGTAGCATTATTGTTGGTAATAAAGATGGCGGTCTTGTTGTTAGTAGTAATAATAACAGTATTCAAAATAGAAGCAATAGCAATAATAATTTTGATCAGATGAGAAAAGAGTTATACAAAATTAACGAAGTTGTTTGAAGTTGGTGAATTTTTGATGAATTACACAAATTTTACTATTACATATACTCTACCCTTAAATGGTATTATATTTTAATGTACTACATACCAGAGTGAACATTTACATCACGTAAAAGATTTCAGGACTCAAAATCATTAAAGTCACAATAATAATGTGATATATTAAATTATTTTCTGTATAGTATAGACAGTAATTAATAAACTCATGCATGCTAAGCTTATTTATTCTTCTTTCACTTGGCTCATTTTAACTTTTGTTTGATTTAGTTTAACAGAAAAAAAGCAAAATGGTAACTTTGTTGTTTTATCAGTTCAGGTTTTTGCATTTTTAATCTTTGACTTAATTTTGAAGTTTTGAATAGTATTTTCACTTTACCCTTATTCTCATTTAAATATTCTAATTGCTCATTTCATAATGACAAGCCATAATGGTTGCACCCAAAAAATTTCCTGATTTTATTATATTATTCAAGCAAGGTGTAGATTTAAAAGAATACAATGTTAAGTTCTTGCCAATAAACTCCACATCAAGAATTCAGCTTAGTGATGCTGTAATAATTGCTTCCTTTAAAAACATTATGAAAAATTTGATAAAATGAATTGGGTTCAACTAAACTCAAATGTTTCATCAAATCTATGATGTTAAAGATTATACCTAAGGCAGATCAGAGAACAGAACAGATCCAGATCTGGCGGATAATTAATTATGTACAAACAAAAATTGCACGAAAAAAAAACATAAATAATTTATATCACTTCGTAACTTTGATTCTCAAAATTTTACATGCAAAATTTAGATTTTAAGAAAATAAAAAATAAAAATTAAAAAAATAAAAGGAATTTTTGGTTGATATATAATTTGGTGGACCTAATACTAAGCTGCAAAATCGTGTTTTTTAATTCAATTATTACTAAATACGTTTTTTATACAATTTTTGTTTAAAAGCGGGCCAAATTTTTGTCCATATAGTGAATGTATTATATATTAATATAATAATTTCTTTTTTACAAGAGCAAAGAATTTTTTCTTCGATATATTAAAATAGGTTTCTTTTAATAAATATTCATAATTGATACATTGATGTTTGTCATTATAATACATATATGCAATTGATTCAAAATTCATAAGTAATTTCTTAATTCGTGAAATTCATAAGTCTTAATTCATAAGTAATTCTTTAAAATAAGTTTTTTTTATTATTGTTATGCATAAGATATTTCAGATCAGATCCAATATTTTAAAGAACCCGATCGGATCGGATCGGATTTCTGATCTGTTTTGATCTGCTTGGAGCCCCAATTATATTCATATGTCAAGGAATTTATAAATCCAGAAGATGAATTGATCAATGGATGAGTATTTATTGTGGAGATAATGAATTTTTGGATTATATTGGACCGATAAACAATAAATCTTATCATTACTTTCTAGGGCTGCTTTAAAGTATATGTGGCTTCCAGTGTCTGGGGTGGATAAGCTTTTCACATTACAAAAATATTTGAAGTGATAGATGACATAATTTTTTAGAAAATTCATTAGAAATATTAATGTTTTATATTATTACAAATAATATTAATATTATTAATTTAAAATTATATAATATTATAAATTTTATTATAAAAATGATTTTTTAAATAAAAAATAATAGTGTATAATTTGCATAAATCTGGAGTCTCTAGTCACCTCATAAAGGACGACCTATCGATAGGGTAAAGAGACGTGTATTTATAAGTACGGAGACGCACCTTTTTTTCGTGATATTTTTTGGGGTGCGGGTCTATTCACACGCGTGGGGTCATAACCCTATGCCCTCAGATTAAACTACTTCATAACAATAACATCAATAACATCACTATGGGTGATAAGAATAAGGATAACAAAGACTATTTGGAACTGCACAAAGACATTGCATTTATTATAACAAATTAGTTGAAAGATATTTAGAATCAGAATTACCGTAAAGTCTGGAAAGATAGCACCCCTCGGAAGATAGCATCCCCTACTTTAAAACAATTGAGCGTCAATATAAAAAAAATGTTACACATATGTAAAAAGGGGATGCTATCTTTCCAGACTTTACGGTAAATTCTGATAGTGATAAAACAAGAGCAACAAACAATATTTATGTTCCACGATCAAAAAAAAGAAATGAAACTGATTTTACCATTAACACTACAAGGTTTCAAGGAACTCTGATTTTTGTTATTATGTTATTATTATGGTCATAACTATGAAAAATGACCCAACATAATGAAATCATACCTAGGTTCGTGCATGCATTGTTGGAATAATTTTGCACATTCCAACACAAAAACTTGTGGATTATCGCCAAGGGAAACACCATTTTGCAAAAGACTTTAAGAAGCGGAGGTGCTAATAAGATCGTTGGGGTCATTCGAAGAATAATGCACACGGATATAAAAAAAATTTTTTTTTTAAATTTATTCAGCTAATAAATGTTTTTTTATTTTTTCTTCCTTCTCCTTCTCTTTCTCCTTCTCTTTCTACTTCTCCTACTATCGTTCTTCCTTTAATTATAATATAGAAAATTTATAAGCAGCCAGCGGCAAATAAACTCTTATTTTTTTTGTATCAATTAGGAGGTTTGTTAAGTAAAACAAACTTCAAAATTGATTGATTTTTATTTTCTTTGTTGTATAAAGAATTTTTTCAAATTCAAATTTTATGGAAATCTATTTACAACAAATATCGAAAATTAAGAAATATCACCATATTGATACAGTGCGGATCATCTATACTCAAAAGTTAAAATTTTTGAAATATTATGTGATCCACACATCGGATTTTAAAAAAC